GCCCACTCAAGTGTCTATTTTAATCTGCCTGGCCCTGCATGCCAGCTGAGACCTGTTCCTGGGCTGCGCAGGAAGCGGCCCTGCTGAGTGTCCACACTGGCTTCCTGGGGATGGTCTGCATGCAATTACTGCAGCCCACTGCCCTTCACTTTCTTCTCCCTCAGCCACACCCCAGGGAGTAGGACCAGCAGCCACAGATAGGGGGTGTTCATAGACTGCTCAGAGGGGGTGTTTCTAGTCTGCCCAAAAGCCTCTTCACTCCTCTGCCGTGTCATTTCCATCCACTCAGTATGATTTATAACCAGAAAGTGGCCCCACCAGAAGGCAAGCCCCATGAAGGCAGGCCTTCATGAGTCAGCAATTCCTTAGCGGCCATGAAAAATGCCAGGGGAACATTTACGTGGGTCCTGGGAAGAGCGGGAAGCTTTGCCTGGGAAGGCTGGAGGCGCTTGTGGTAGCACCGGGTGGGTTCCTTCACAGTCTGAATGTGCCTGAGAGGTGTTGTCTGTGCATAGGGGCCATCTGGAATTTATTTTATTTTACTTTTTATGTTTGAAATGGAACCTCACTCTATCACCCAGGCTGGAGGGCAGTGGCATGTCTTGACTCACTGCAACCTCTGCCTCCCAGGTTCAAGTGATTCTCGTGCCTCTCAAGTAGCTGGGGCTACAGGCACACACCACCACACCTGGCTAATTTTTGTATTTTTAGTAGAGATAGGGTTTTGCCGTGTTGGCCAGGCTGGTCTTGTCCTCTTGGCCTCAAATGATTCACTGACCTCAGCCTCCAGTGATCCACCCACCTCAGCCTCCCAAAGTGCTGGGATTTCAGGCATGAGCCACCGCACGCAGCCACCATCTGGGATTTTTAAGCAGCATAGTGACTTGCTTGGACTTGGGTTTCTAAGGGCAGGTAACGCAGAAGTGTTTCAGGAGAGGGAAGGACCTGGGTCCATAGGAAGGCAATGGCAGTGGGAGGTGGCTGGTCTGGAGGAGGTGGAGCTGGCAGGACGGTGGCTGGGAGAAGGGGGCACACAGGTGTGAGTCTGGGGGTCTGGTGGGGCAGTCTCCTAGCACGGCCAGTTGAGTGTGTGACTGGCGCTGCACCCTTCCTACCCATCCCCTGCTGACAGCGAGTCTATGCTGGACAATTGCCGTCTCCACATTCCAGGCAGAGGTGACTTCGTGACTGTGGAGGGAGGAAACTGAGGTGCAGGAAGAGGGGCTGGCTGGGGAGGCACCTGCCGTGTCCTGGGGTCGGGAATGGATGAACCCATCCAGGCATTTTGTAGAGCAGTGATTTTCAGACTCCATTTAGCAGCAGAACCTTTTGTCACTCTTCTCTAAAAAGAATATATTTTACATGTAATGTTGTGAGCAGATGAAAGCAAGGGTGTGAGTTCTAAGCATCTGTCTCCGGAAGGCCTCATAGCTCTGGCAGAACTGGAGCAGAGAAATACAGTTGATAGGTAAGTAGTACCAGTATCATCCAGGCCAAGAGGGATAAGCGTGCCCTCCATGCCACAGAGAATCTACGGCAATACAGTTTTTTTGGAGGACATTTTGGTAATATCTGTCAAAAATTTAGATAAACATAACTTTTGACCCAGATTCCCTACTTTTAGGAAATTATCTTACCAGAATACTTGCACAAGTGCATAAGGATATACGTACAAGATGTTCACTGTCATCCTAATATATCACAAACATTACAATTGCCCATGAATAGCCAGGGTGATTTAGCTATGTAAGTACTTGTATCTGTGTTAACATGGAAGGACATCGAGGTGCATAGTTAAGTAGAAAAAGCAAGAATGAGGATCATGTATGGTCGCATTCCTGTCAAAACAAGAAAAGTCAGTGTGTATTTGTATGCTATTATATGTTTCAAAGCCATCTGAAACTGGACACCACATGTTAACACAGGCTATCTCTTCAAGAGATTTCCCTTTCTAAGCCTCTGGTGTCTCATTTTTGAATTTTTTTCCCTCAAGTACCTACTACTGTCATTTTGTAAAAAGTGATCTTAGAAAAATGAAAGGAACTGCAGTTAGCATGGTGGGAGGAGAGTCTGCGGGCAGAGGAGTGGACTGGTAAGGGCTGGTCTGAGGGCGAGGCAGCTAGGACATAGTGGGGCGGGAGGCATGGTGCAGGGAAGCTGTGAGGAAGAAGAAATGGGAAACTGAGTCAGATGTCACCAAGAAGTCAAAAGAAGTTGCTGTCAGGTTTGGGAGGAAGTCTGTGGCGGTGGTTCCAGCACAGTTACTGGCCAGTTTGCATCTGTACTAAAGCATCCATACTAAAAACAAGAACAACGAAGAAAATCGGGGTGTAATTCTCAGATACACTCGCCTAAACCCTGCAATGTTTGCCCCTGAGTCCGGTGACACAGATATAAATGTCTGTCATCCATGGGAAGGATGCTTGGAAGATCACCCCTAGTGAGAGTATTTTTGTCCACTCTAAAAAAGCCATAGTAGGTGGGACCAGAGTGCCCTGTTTGTGTGATGTTCATCCTCCTCGACCTAGTGGCTTTTTTCATTCCTTCTATAGTTGGCCGATGACTAACCTTGAACACAAAGGCAGGCCCACTTAGAGCTTTCTGCTTTTATTCACTCAGTATTTGGGCCTGTCCCTTTTCTTTTGGCTTGAATATTTCAGTCATCCTGGCTTAGCTGATGCCCACTTCTGAATAGCGTGTTTTCCTCACACCAGGAGTTCTGTGCTGCTTACCTCCACCAGCTAGGGCAGCTGGGCTTGCAGAGGGCCCTCCCTGTGGCCCGCACAGCCCCTTTTGGCTCCGCTCCCTCCAGGTGGCTTGTCTTGTCTTATGGCCTCTTTTTTATTATCTGAAGACTGTCTCCTTTCCGACACTTCACCAAAGAACAGGCAGCCCCTGCAACTTGGGGGTTTTCAGAGATGAGCATCTTAAATATGACTCACTTTCAACTTTCAGAACTAAATTTTCTTTTGGGCCAGGTTATGTTTGCTTCAAGAATGGAATTATCTGTCATCCAAATTTCTATTTTGTGTACTTTTTTGTTTGTTTTACCATGTCCTTTCAGGCTCGTGTGATGTGAATCGGTTTTTTTAAAACCATATTTTAATTTTGAAACTCCCTTGGGATTTAAACTCATAACAGTATGTTAACACACATGCCATCCAAGTAGAATGATTTCAGAAATCCAGATGGTTTCTGTCCACGTTTGTGGATCAGAGCAGAGACTCCAAAGAATTGAAATAAAAGAAGTTCCCTGTTTGCTTCCTTCCAAACAATTTTTACTTGTCGTGTGACTACCAGTTCGTCCTCCCTAGAATCTGAGATAACGTATACTGTAATGGCGTCTCTCAGTTGAGGGCATCAAATGACAAATGTTTGGCTGGCCTCTCATTTCCTGGAAGAAGTGATTGATTCTCCAAACCCCCCACCCTGAGTTTGGAGCTGTTGGTAAATACTGAGCCGGCCATGGTGGCCATCTTATTGCAAGGTGTGAGACGTAACTGATGGATCGCCAAGAAAGATGGATATTCTGGAGAAATGATGAATAGTTAACATGAATTAGCACCATCTGGATTGAAATTTTCCACTACAGATGAACATTTATTTAAAAAAATTAATGATCATTGACAGTTTTTTCCTATTACGCCTCAATGACTTACTTTTAGAACAGCTTACTGAGTTGCCTTTTAGTTTTGGTCTCAACCACGTAACTTTTTTTTTGAGACAAAGTCTTACTCTGTCACTAGGCTGGAGTACAGCGGTGGTGTGGTCTCGGCTCACTGCAACCTCTGACGCCCTGGTTCAAGCAATTCTACCTCAGCCTCCCGAGTAGCTGGGGCATGCGCCACCGTGCCCAGCTAATTTTTATATTTTTAGTAGAGACAGGGTTTCACCATGTTGGCCCAGATAGTCTTGATCTTCTGACCTCAGGTGATCTGCCTGCCTTGGTCTCCCAAAGTGCTGGGATTACAGGTATGAGCCACTGCGCCCGGTCCACTTAACTAACTTTTTTAAAATGTATAGGATGGCTCACGCCTGTAATCCCAACACTTTGGGAGGCCAAGGTGGGTGGATCACAAGGTCAAGAGATCGAGACCATCCTGGTCAACATGGTGGAACCCCGTCTCTACTAAAAATACAAAAAATTAGCTGGGCATGGTGGCACACGCCTGTAATTCCATCTACTCAGGAGGCTGAGGCAGGAGAATTGCCTGAACCCAGGAGGCGGAGGTTGCAGTGAGCCAAGATCGTGCCATTGCACTCCAGCCTGGGTAACAAGAGCGAAACTCCGTCTCAAAAAAACAAACAAAAAAAAAGTATAGGAGCAACTTTCAGGCTGTTTCTTTCATCTCAGGTGAGGTTATTCTTGCCTCGTTTTTCACTGAGTGGGAGCTCTGTGCAGCTAATAGTAGCTGTGAGATGGAGCGAATGATCTGCTTTGAAAGTGAACTTGACTCAAAGGGTAAGGAGTGTACATGACCATAGTAGAAGAGAGCCTATGTCTGCTGAAACATTTAAATTAACTAAACTTTAAAATTTATGAACAGCTCTGTGGATATTAGTCTTTATGTTAACCAGTTCAAGCCAGTATCAAAACCTCCACTAAAGTTAGCTCTTGCTAGCTGGTAGAGCCTCCTGACTGGTCTGGAAATGTCTCCAATTAGACGAAATGTCGTATTTCAGTAAGTTGTGTTTGGCATTTGTCACCTGCTGTTGGTATTGGTTTGTTCATTGAATACATGTTCTGTGAGCTTATTTGCCAAGCATTCATTCTTTCCATGGATATTTCTTGAGTGCCTGCAGTGCCCTGTACACTGGGCCAGGGGTAGGGAGACATCTGTGACCAGGCAGACATGGTCCTTGACCTCACAGAGTAACAGTTGACAAAGTGTTCTAAAAGCTGTTGCAGGAATGACAGCCAGCTCTGGGGGGTGCAGGGCAGGAAAGCCACGATGAGTATCAAGCTGCGAATGCTCATGGCTCTTACTCTGCCCCCGCAGCATGGACAAGGACAGCCCCGAGGTCCACCAGGACCTGAACACCCTCAAAACCAAGTTCCAGGAGATGCGCAAGCTCATCAGCACCATGCCCGGCATCCACCTGAGCCCTGAACAGCAGCAGCAGCAGCTGCACAGCCTCCGGGATCAAGTCAGGACCAAGAACGAGCTTCTGCAAAAGTACAAGAGCCTCTGCATGTTCGAAATCCCCAAGGAGTAGAGCGAGGCCGACTTCCAGGAGCACCTGAGAAAGAGGGAAGCAAATGGCCTGTCACCCCACAGCCACTACCCCCCCGGCCGAACGCTTGTTGGGGCACAGTTCCTGTGGAACCCAGCTCAGAACTTCAAGCTGCAGGGGCGGGGTTCCTGTGCGGGAGCCAGCGCCGAGAGCTTGGCTGTGCTGGGGCTTCCTTGTGTAGATCCATATGTCTAGATGCATAATAACTGGAGTGCCTGCTGGTGGAAGTCAGAATGCTCCTGGAGGCTGCGGAGGGGGTGGAGGACTCTCCCTTGCCTCTGGGGAGGGGGCCATCTGCTTCGCATCCAGCCCCACTGACAGATCTGAAGAACACAGTAAGAAGGGAGGCGGTTCCTCTCTGCTTCCTTCCCTCCCCCTCCTCCCACCCCCATAGGATCAGTGTGTACCAGGTACATATTGTTCCTGTTAGCAGCAGCTTCTTGAAACACTTGCATAGAATCCACTGGACAAATTAAGCCTGCGCTCATATGGCATAGAGCTGTGAGAGAATGTTTTGAAAGGCCACAGGGTGGCTTTTTTCCCAGTTTGGTTCCTTTTCTGTTTGAGCGGTGAAGGAACTATAGCTGTGGGGGTGTCGGCCCACACCCCTGCCAGGCAGCCCCTGGCTGCAGCTTCCCTGCTTCCTAGCACTCTCCTCTCCTTCAGCGCTTGCTCTCTTCCTTGCTCGGCACCTTCAGTCAGTGCCCAGGGCTGGCAAGGGGCCGTCCTTTCCACTCAGGCTGGAAGAGGTCTTCAGGCGGACAGACCTGTCTTCTGTCATTTCAGATTCCCATTGCCGTGGTGAAAAGGTCTTTCCCTTCTGTTCTCACTTGTGGCAGCGATGTGTACTATGCTGCAGAGGGGTTCATGATGCACCTTGTGTTCAGAGAGGGGCAGTTCGGGTGGTCCTCAGCCATGAGCTAGGCCTGACAGTGACACAGCCAAGTTTGAGCTCTTAAAGGTTTATAGCAGCCCTCATTTCCCCAGCATCCCTGATTTCTTCCGGATGGGACATTTTCTTTGTTTGCTCTCCCTTGACTGTCAAATTGAGGTAGGAGTAGTTCTCACCCTTGCTTCTCCAAGAGGGGGTGCCAAGTCCTGGAGTGTTGTTTGGGTCTAGGAATGAGCACACAACCTGCGCTGACCACTTCGGGGACTTAGCAGATGCCCGCCAACTGACCTCATTGGTAGGAGGACTGGGTGAAGATGTTTTTAGCAGAGCTGCCATTAGTGTCCAACTGCAGCTACCTATCAGAATGTGGGTGGTATATTGGGGACCTGGGGATGTGTGAAGGAGGAGACCAGATTTCAGTGGCTTTGCACAAAAAAGTAGGCTCGGAATTCAAGTGGGTGGTCACCTGTTAGACCAGTTCTACCTTGGAACTGTTATTTAACTGAATCAGTTATTTCCTTGAAATTTCACAGTTGCGGGTCGGCCACTTTTAAGGCTCTGACAGATACCATGAAACATGAAGCACATGGAAATCTAAGACCCTTGGGGTCTGAATGCAAGGCTGAAATGAACAAGGGCTCCTCACGCGGGTGGAGGGAGCTGGAGCCTACCTTGTGTTCCTGTTTTGACTTGTGACATTCAAACGCATAATTAAAAGGACTTGTACTCTGCTGTTTCTGGACATCATGCTTTCTGTACTGAGAAATTCATAGTGGGATGCTCTCAGATCATTTAGAGGAAAATGTTTCTCTTACTCTGTTCAGACACAGAACCAACCCTCTGTTCCTCAACTCCCTCCACTCACCTGCTGAACCAGTGTGGAACAGGAACTCCTCTCCCGGCTGGCCTCAAGGGGAGTTTGCCTGGCAGGTCATCCCTGCCCCTGCCTGGCACGGGCCCCTGGGCATCCGTGGTTGCCTTTGATGGAGTGGCAGGGTGGGAGTGGGGGTCCAGTGCCTTTTGGTGACTGGAGGTTTAGTCCTGCCAGAACTGCCCTCCCTGAGCAGGGTTGAAATCCTTCTAGGACAATTGTTGAGTGTTCCTCACAGGGCTGAGCACCCTCTCAAAGCCACTAATTATTTGGATTACTGGGTGGCATGCATTTGTGCTAAGTACTTTTCAGATACCACACTTAATCCTCACAGCAAGCCCATGCAGAGGGTGCTCTGCCCCAGGTTTGCAGTACTAGTGACAGAGGTGTTCCTGGGTGCCTTAGGCATGAGAGGGAGATAGCAAGGCTGAGGGGTGCATGGGGCTCCACTCCTGGGCTTGAGCACTGCCTGGAGCTAGAAGGGAGCAGACGCCCAAGGGTTAGCTGTTTCCTGCCAGGGTGGCACCCTGGAGGGAGGGGGTGGGAGTGGGCACCTGGATGGACCTGCTTCCAGATGGGTCTCAGGGTCTTTCCTCAGGGCCTGAGTGATACCTCCCAGTCTGAGAGTTCGCCTGGGCCCACACTGAGTCTGGTGACAAAATGGCTAGGCACAGTTCCAGTGGCCCTTGGGCTAAGGAGAATTCAGAACGTTTTCTTAGAAAATGAGGCCTTTTGTCATCAAACACAAAGAAAATTAAGCGGGTAGGTGGCTAGAAAGAGTTCATCTCCAGGAGGGACCCTGAAATCCTTTACCTTCGTCCTGGTTTTGTAGGGAACCATCCCCTGCATAGATGCCCCAGGCACCTAGGGCCTTTCTGGCCGCCAAAGCTGCTTTCAGAAGGGCAGGGTATTTTCCAGTTCCGAGGAAGGTTAAGTTCTAGTTCCACACAAGTCAAAGCCCAGCCCCTTCCCTCTCCCTACCCTTCCCGCCTCCAGCCATCTCTAAAAGCAAAGAAAAACCGGTTTTCCATTTTAAATTATTTTATTGTATATTTAAAAACCAACAGTAATAAAGACCTCACTCGCACACACGCAGTACAAATACCAGGGTGAGGTTTTGTTGGTGTCCGTGTTGACACCGGAACTACTGTTAAAGTGCAAGTTTGGTTTTGTGTTCCTTTGTGCAGTTTCACTCACATGTAAACAAGTCACTTGGCTATGATTTGACCCAGCCCCCCTTAGTTTTGGGAGGGCACAGGTTCTGCCGGCTGTCATGGCAACCCGGAATCACAGACAAGATAATGCCCCGTGGGTCCTGACCCTCAAGCCGGGCAGGACGGTTTCTTGAAGCCTAACAGGCTGGATAACTTCACATCACCCCCACCCCGCACTCACTCTTAGGTCTTTGAGAAGACAATGCCACTCTCGGCAGGGCCCTTGCCCCCCACCCCGCCAAGTTGTGGGGATGGGATGGGGTGAGGGTGGGAGTAGTCTCAGTCTTGGCCAGTTCTCTTTCCTTCCAGAGCAGATGACTGTCCCTTCTTGGTTCAGTGGCGCCTCCCCAGCGCTGGGGGCGGATCGCGGGGAGGGAAGACGCTAGTCCAGTCCGCGCGCTCGCGGCCCCGGGGCGCACGGGGCGTGCCGGGCCGTTGGATTTGACTTAAACAAAAAGGTCCTCCTTATGTCGTGTGGCTGCCGGCGCGGTGGGGCTCCTAGCTGATGACGCAGCGCTCCTTGTCCTTCGCCTGGCTGCCGGCGCTGGCCTTTTCTCGGATGTACATGAGGTCGCTGTGCACGCTTGGCCGGCGCGCGAAGGGTGCCACGATGCCGAAGGCGTCGCCCGGGTCGCCGCCGCCGGCCCGCAGCAGCCTCTTGTTCCGCAGCGCCTTCTTGTGCAGCACGTCGCAGTACTGCACGGAGACCTTGCGGTGCAGGTCCGGACTCATCTCGCTTGGCAGCTTGGCCATGGCGAAGAGTGCACGGAACATCTGGTCCAGGCTGCTGTTCTTCTTGGCTGAGATCTCGAAGTAGGCGCAGCGCTGGGGGTCGTCGCCCACCAGCTGCTCGATCTCGCGCTGCTCCACCTCGCGGTAGAAGTCCCGGTCACCCTTGTTGCCACAGATGACCAGGGGCACGTCCACGTTCTCCTTGGTTTTGTTCTTGAGGCAAGCCTTGGTGTCGAGGATCTGCTGTCTGAGCCGCTGAACCTCCTCGAAGGAGTCGCGGTTGTCCAGGCTGAACACCAGGATGAAAACGTCTCCTAGAGGGGGCACAGAGAGCAGAAAAGGAGAAGGTGAGGGTGGCTGTCCAGGGGACAAGTTGGGCTGACTTCGGGGTCGCGCGGGGCGCGCTTGCCTCTCCAAGCGCGAGGCGCGCGACTGGCGCTCGCGGGCTGTCCTGGCAGAGGGTTCCCCGCCCTTCCCTCCGGCGCCTGCCCGGCCCCCGGCTCACCTGTGAGGATGGAGAGGCGTCGCATGGCGGGGAACGGGTGGTTGCCGGACGTGTCGAGGATATCGAGCTGGTAAACCTCGCCGCGGATGGAGTAGAACTTGCGGTGGAAGTCCTCGATGGTGGGCGTGTAGGCGTCCTCGAAGCGGCCGGTGAGGAAGCGCGAGACGATGGCCGTCTTGCCCACCTTGGACGAGCCGAGGATAACCATGCGATAGCAGTTCTTGGCCGGGATACTCAGCTCCGAGTCGCTGGGGCACATCTTCTTGATCATCGCGGCCAGTTTCATTGGGCAGAGGGGCCGCGAGGGCGGGAGCGGGGCCGAGCGAAGGGCGGAGAGTGGCCGGAGGCGCTGGGGAGGCGCGCGGGTTAGCGGCCGGAGGGCTCTGCTCGGGCTGGGCGCGGCTCGGGCTTGGGGATCCGGCTTCGCTCGAGCTGGGCTTGGGTTTGCGCTCGGCTCAGAGTCTCCCGGGCTCTGGGCACAGGCAGCTCGCTCTGGCTTTGGCGCCCGGCCGCCGCCCTTATATGCAGCCTGCGTGGCCGCCCCGCCCCGGCCCTCCCAGCTTGGTGCGTCACGCCCCGCGAGACCCGCCTCCCCCGCACCCGCTCCAGGCCCCTGCGACCTCGCCGACCGCTGCCCCGCTCCTGCTCTCTGGGCGCGGGGGCTGGGGGAAACTGAGTCCAGGGTCGGGCTGAGGCTGGAGGCGCTTGGACTCCGCTCTTCCACCGCCGCGGGCTCGGCTGCCGCAGGGGTGTTGGGGTTCTGGTCTCGGCGGTGCCCCGACCCTCTGCGACCTCTAGCAAGGAGCCCCCTTCCAGCTCCTCCCGCGCGCGTACACTCACTTTCTTTGGTTCTCAGTTTCCCCAGAGAGATCTAGTAAGTAACCCAGTAAGCGCAGCAGCGTTTGCTGGGGGCTTGCGCGGACCGTATATTGAAGTCCCCAGAGCATAGCCCAGACACCTCCCGCTCCGGTCCCCAGCCCGGCGCTTGTTCCCGGGAGGCGGAAGCCGGGCTGACAACGGGTTTCCGGGCCTCTGGCGCGCAGCTCGGCACCGCGCGCTCAGGCCGCCAGAGGGCAGCAGAGGGCCCGGCCGATGGCGCGGGGAAGCTGCGGGCGCCGCGTTCAATGCTGGAACAGGCGAGGAGCGGGGCGGGTGGTGAGCGGGAGGGACGGGGCAGGGGCCTCGGAGCGCCAGGCTGGGACCCAGCAAGAGCGGTCCCCAACCCCGCGCTCTGCTGCAGGCCTCAGCTTCCTTTCTTCCAGCCAGAGATGCTCTGTGGCATGGAGGGCTCTGCAGCCAGCGTCCCACCCGAAGGGCCAGGGCCCACCCCGCTCCCCCATAGCATTTTGGATCTTTACTCTGCGGCACGTGGGCCGACCTCATTGTCTAGCTGAGAGAACCTGAGCTCAAAGCCACAGTGAGCCCTGGGAGCACAGCACAGCCTCTTGCCTTCTCCTGGGCCTCAGCTTTCCCTTCTGGAAGATGGTGATTCTGGTTCTGTGATTATGGATGAAAATATGCAAATAGTTTAGGAGGGCAGGTGGGGTAATCGTGACAATAACAGTAGTGTTGATCCATGGGGCCTGGTGGGGGTACACTCAGGCCCACTCAAGGTTGATCAGTAACAGGAGTCCTGGGGTGATGTTGCTGAACGTTGGCAATAAGGTATCTGGAGCCTGCTCCTCAGCCCGGAGTGCTTGAGGAAGCCACTGCTCCCAGTCACTACAGGCAAGGCTGTGCACTCAGTGTTTTGCTTTGGCCATGTCTGATTTAGGAGAAACCTAGGGGACCATTACCCAGCTCCATCAGCCCACCAGTCAGTTGATGGTGCTCCGTGGGCAGTGCGGTGGCTGCCACCCTCCCACCCCATGCCTACCCTCGCCCCTCCTGCACTGGCGCTTGCTACAGGACACTCCTACTTGCCTCTCAGCCCAGCTGGGCCCCCATCCTCGGAGTCCCTGCGTCTCTCCCAGGCCTGACTCTTACTGTCAGATATTTCAAATGCACACATCACACAGTGCACATCCAAGGGCTCATCAGCTGGATCTAAGAAATGTCAGTGGCCCCCGGCTCTGATTCCTGGTGTCACGCAGGAGTTATCTGACAGGCCCCTGGGGCTGGGGCCTCGCCATTCTTGCTTTCTGCCCCCACTGAGGCTCCCTTCCCTCCCCATCTGAGGTATGTCTGCCAGATACTGGGAGAAGAATGAAGCCCCAGCCCTGGATAGCAGGCTGCAGCGTGCAGTGGTCCCGGGTATTCACTGCAGAAAGGAGCCAGTTGAGGGTGCATAGGGGGGCTCAGTGAAGGTACAGGTCTGAATCACCTCCAGACTGAGCACCGCCTTCCTGTGCCACCCACACGGCACTGCATGGGCAGCCGGGCTGTAACTTGGGGTGACTGATGGCCAAGGTGGACCCCAAACAGCCTTTGCCTCCTGGGACTCTAGTTCCAAGAGAGTCCATTTGATATGAGTAGAGAGCCTGAGGGTAAGGGTTACAGCCCAGCTCTTCCCAGGTCAGTGTCCAGGCTGGCCCCTTAAATCAGGAACATGAGTGACACTGGCAGGCACTGGCCCAGCCTGAGTCTTCAGCCACAGTGATTCCTGGTACCATCTGTGCACAGCCGTCTGCCCTACAGATGCCAGGTTCCCATTCTGAATGCCCCAGAGTGCCTCCTGTCACGGAGGTGGCCTCTGGTACCTCACTGTCACAAGCAGCAAGGCCCCTTGTTTCTACCCTCCTCTCTTCTTTTAAAAGTGTATCTCTTTCTTTTTATTACAAAAGTAATAAATGTTCATGGTTTTTTAAAAAATCCAAACCATTTCAAAAGGGCCAGAATAAAACACATACTGGGATCAGGCCCTCTCTCGGCCACACCCAGGACTGGCTACACCAGTCCTGTGGGGTGGCATCTCCTGATGTCCCCACATGGCCAGACTCCCAACTGCACGAAGGAAGCCTTATCCCCAAGCAGCCTCTGCCACCCGCCTCTTCATTAATGCAGGTGGTGTCCTTTTTTCCTTCTGGGGACTTTATGCCAGGCCCTGCCCTAGGCTGGCTAATCAGAGAGGCCGGGGAGGGCCGGGAGCTGGAAGATAAGCAGGGACAACTCCCTCTGGACCCTGGAGCCCCACACAGAGGAAGTATGTGCAGCTGGGCTTCCCAGCCTGCCGCCCGGGCCCTGCCAGCCATCCCGGCATTGGATGTCCAGGCCCATCACACTCCCACACTGTCTCCAGCAAATAATTCTGTTTTCTGTTTGGGGCAAGAGACAACAAACATCGTTTAGGAGGCTGTGAGCCTGTCTGTAAATAGTATTTACTTGCAGCACAGAAATTTTCCTGCTCAGAGGGGAGGGAACTGTTTAAAATTTTGACCAAATGCCAGGCATGGTCTGGGGGTGAGCCGCTCGACCCCACCCCCTCCAGGCAGGAAATGCCAGCCACACAGCCTCATCTGAAGGCAAAGATCAATTAGGAAGTTCTTGAGAGCTGGCCAGAGGAGAACGCTGGGAGCCCATCAGAGCTTTGCCTGTGGTGGTGTCCCAAGACAGAGTCTACTCAAGGGCTAGAAGTGGGCACTTCGGGTGACAGGAGCCGTGCCAACCTGTGTGGCCAGAGCCCATCACCAGTGCCTTGCACCGAGGACGCCCTGGGGCGCACTTTGTCCTGTGTGACCCCTGTGCACTCCACCTCCGGAAGAGGAGGAAAGGGGCAAATAGAGCTGGCTTTGGGTTCCCTCTGACAGGCTCCCCTCATCAAGCTGAGATCATAACTCTGATGAGCTCTGTTTTGGGCAGAGCAGACTCTTCCAGCAGAAGCCAGCTCAGCCCAAGGCTCCCGGCCCTGCCCCAGGAGCCAAGGTTGAGGATGCACGGAGCTTTGCTGCCCGGATCAGGCCGTCCTCCAAGGCTGTGTGTGCAGAGGCGCTGGCAGAGCGGGTGAGCACCTGTGCGAGCAGAGGCAGGGCTGGTCAGACCAGACGCCTCTCATGCCCCTCAAGCCCTGAGACAGATTCTGGATTCTAGAAACCAAAGAGAAAACCTCGAGGAGCTCCATGGGCGATGACGGAGGCACTGCCTGAGCACGTACCCTATACACAAAGCAGGCGTGACTGTGACAGCCATTTTACACAGGAGGGGCTGCAGGGTCAGCATCTGCAGTGTCCATCTGGCCCGGCCCCGCCCCGTGCCCTTCCTCCCCAACTGTGGGCTCAAGTATTGCGAATGGAATTTGAAGAACTGAATCCCACACTGCCCCTCAACCCCAGTACGGCACATTCCCACAGCCTGGCCCTTACCAGCCTTCAGGGGTCCCTCAGAGGCCAAAAGAAGGTGAAACGTCAGGCCAGGCATGGTGGCTCACGCCTGTAATCCCAGCATTTTGGGAGGCCAAGGCTGGCAGAGCCCTCGAGGTCAGGAGTTCAAGACCAGCCTGGCCAACATCGTGAAACCCCATCTCTACTAAAAATACAAAAGATTAGCCAGCTGTGGTGACAGGTGCCTATAATCCCAGCTACTCAAGAGCCTGAGGCAGGAGAATCACTTGAACCCAAGAGGTGGAGGTTCCAGTGAGCCGAGATTATACCACTGCTCTCCAGCCTGGGCAATGAGAGTAAAACTCTGTCTCAAAAATAAATACAAAATTATCAAGGTGGGCATGTAAGAGGAAGCAGCCGCTGTGGAAAACACGCTAGAAGTTCCGTAGTGTAGGTCTGACACGTGAGCTACATGTGACCTAGCAGTTACACACCTAGCTATTTGCCCAAAAGCAATGAAAATGTGTCTACACAAAAACTGTCCACAGGTGTTTACACAGCATCCTTCAAAACAGCCTGAAGGTGGGAACAACCCAAGCGTCCACTGCCTGATGGATAAACACAGTGTGTCCATCCACACAGTGGAATATTGTGCAACCGTAAACATGAAGAGTGCTGAGGCGTGGCACTCCGAGGTTGGACCTCAAACATGCAGTGCCGAGTGAGAGAAGCCGGACAGATGCTTTGATTGCATTTATAGGAAGCATCCGGGAGAGGCGAGTCCATAGAGACAGAGTGGCTTGGTGGTGATGACTGCTGGAGAGGAGGTGTGGGGTGATAGCTAGGGGTACAGGGGTCTCTCTGGGGAGTGGTGACAATGTTCTAATAATTATGGTGATGCCTGCACAGCTCTGGATAAACAAAACCCCACAGAATTGTACACTTTGAATGGGTGAATTGTATGTATGGCTGTGGATTATATCTCAATAAAGATGTTAAAATTATAATTGAGTTGAAGCCATGAAACTGGCTGGGTGGCAGGACTGTGCGCTCCAGGTTGAGAAGCGTGGACCCCGCCCCCTGGTGAACAGGCACTAGCTCCAGCCCGGCCCTCTCCAGGCACCCGGCAGCCACCTGCCTGTTGCAGAGGAACTCAGGACCTCTCCCAGCTCCCCTGGACCTGCCCACCATGGGGGCCACACCCCTTTGTTCCCTCATTCACCCCCAAATCCTGGACATTCTCCCCCTTACACATCTCTCACGTCCCCTTTCCCCACCTCACGCCTCTGTCCAGGGCCCAGCACCAGCACCTCTGCCTAGACCAACCCTCTAGAGGCCTCCCGACCCAGGGTAGGAGGCCCTGTTCCTACCCTGCAGCTAGGGGATCGCTTTCCCCATGCTCCCATCTGTTTCTGGAGCCTGAGCCCCTCACCAGGCCTGCTCGTTGCAAGGGATGCTTGGGTCCCTTGACCTTCTCCTGGGCTGGCCCACCACAGCTAGGTCACATGCTGTTCCCTTGGGCGGAAAGGCTCCTCACCCATCCCACCACCTCACCTCCTGACACCTGCCCATCCCAGATCTGACTTCAAAGCTCACTTCACCAGCAAGAAGGAGTCCGAGGATGCTGATCGATCATGGCAGCGATGACATGAAAACATCCCACCCTGTCCCCATTCTGCAGTGGCCTGTCCTGAGAGGTGGCATGCCCCCAAGGGCAGGGCATGAAACCCGTGCTCATCGCTGCGTGAGTCCTCTGCCTGTGTCATAGAAGGACTAACTCAATATTGTTGGATGGTTGGATGGATGGATGGATGGATGGATGGGAGGGGTGTCCAGGTGGAGGGAGTGGCGAGGGTAGACGCACTCAGGGGATAAGTGGAGGTGATCTGAGACCTGAGCACATCGCAGGAGCCCAGATGGAGAGAAGGAAGCCTCGGTGGGACAGGCTCTGGGGAGAGAATAAATCCTGGGTCCCCGGGGTAATGGGCCAAGACTTCCTTCCGAGGACAACAGGGGGTTGAGGGGGTGTCCTGACCCCATTTGCATGTGGCAGGGGGGGTGGTGTGAGGGTGAAGCCTGAGGGTGACGGGGGAGTGGGCAGGAGGTGGGAGCCCCAAGGGGAGGGGCCCACTGGACTGAGCCAGGCTGGTTGCCAGGGAACCAGGCTTCCTCCCGCTACACACACAGCTGGGTGCTGAGTAAGTGGAACCTAAAAATAAAGCCCCCAGTGGGGGCTGGGACCAACAGGGAATGGTGGTGGGGAGCAGGGAACTGCCAGGAACATGGCAGCACTCAGGCTGGGCCTTTCGGGCACCTCTAGCCCATGGCCCAAATCCCAGGCAGAGCATCCTGGCTGGGGACATGGGAGGCTCAGAGAGAGGAGGAGCCCGCACAGCTGAGGGATGGAGGGGCTCTGCGGCCCAGACCCTTAGGGCCACCTGCCTGGGCTGCGGGGCCCAGTTGGCTGGGCACCTGGGATACTGAGGACACAGGGAGGGTCAGCCTGGCCCAGCCCTGGCACCATTGTCCACCCCACCTCCGCATGCAGAACGGGAAGCTGGGGAACCTGCCCAGGGCCAGAGGCAGGGTGGGGGTGGGGCTGGGGCTGGGGCAAGAGAAGTTCAGGGCTGGCAGCCCACCTCCACCATGTGCCCTGGGGACCAAGGAAGTGGGGCAAGAGGCCGTGTGACCAAAGGGTCAGGTCTACTCCTCGGAAGCCCCGTGGCTTCTGACAGCTCTGGCCTGGGGGCTCCTGTGCCTTTGGAAGCCCCTGACTGTGCTGGGGGATGAGTCTCCTCGAAGCCCCCTCCAGCCCTCGGAGGAGAGGGCCAGGCTTGCCCAGAGAGCTGAGGAATGCGGCCGGGGAGCCCACCTTGGCAGAGTGAGCAGGGGGATCCTGGAGCCAGGGCGCTTTGTAAATGTCCATTCAGGCCATGGCAATAACGGGATGTCAAGGGAAAGCCGGCCCTCGGCCACTGTCCCTGAGCTTGACTGAGGACCCCCGGAGCTAGAGGAGGGCAGTGGCCAGCCTGAGGTCACAGGTGGAAGAGACGAGAGGCTGGAACAGGTGGAGGTCTCTCCCCGTAGAACCCTGATCCCCACATGGCCTTTGGAAGCCCCTGACTGGCCTTCGAGTCTCACAGAGAGACCTGAGGGGTAATGCTGACCAAAGCTGAAGGGCTGAGGGCCCCACCCTCAGGAAAATCACCCCAAAGCTCTCCAAGCTTGGAAGTCCCCCACCTGCCTTAGTCAGGGGGCCTAGAGTCCTGGGGACTGAGGGGTGACCCTGCCACCAGGAGCAGAACTGGGATAAAAGCAGAAAGTGGCCACATAGGTGCCAGGAGGAGAGGGGAGGGTCTCTCCACCTCAGGAGCCCTGGTGGCAATGCCCAAGCCCACACTCCTGGTCACTGTGCCCCGCTTCCCCCAGGTGAGCCGCTGCACCCACCCCCCATATGGAGACACAGGGTGCCCAGCATGTGTCCAGCTGCCGGTCAGCACAAGGCCATTCATTTAAGAATGACGGTGTCATCTGCCAGCCAGATGGGGGTGGCCAAGGACAGCGTGGCCACACCTCCCCACCCTCACTCGGGCTGACACGGGGCTGGATCCCCAAGGGAAGAGGCAACAGAGGGGCTGTCTTGGATGTGCTGAGGCGGGTGTGGGAGCAGGTGACACAGGACACCAAGTCTCCTGGGGGTGAAGCCATGACCAGGTGAGCCCCAATGCCTCCTAAGTACCTTCTTTGGAGGCCTGCAGAGAGGTGCCCATCCCTCAGCTCTGAGGTTTCGGAGAGAGGAAGGCGGGTGCCCATGTGGCCTGGGAGCTATTGGGCCTGACGCTCGCGGGCCCCAGTCCTGCTCCTTCCCCACGTGGACAGACAGAGGCTGGAGCAGATGCTGGGGTCACAGTGCCTTTATTGGTGAGTCGGAATGTGTCAAGGTTGGGACTCAATGGCCACGTGGTGGCATGTCCACGGTCCCCAAGGCAGCAGGTTCCAAGGCACTGGAGCAGCCCATGCCCGGGGGGAACCCTGACAGCTCAGGCGCCATTCTCTCCCTGGCAGGGCCTGGCACTTGGGGCAGGCCAGAGGGCCAGCCAGGCCTCCAGCAAAGCTGCTACAGCCCAATCAGCTCCTCTTGAGGGCCCCGGAGGCTTTCTGCCGGTAGATCTCTGCGGTGAAGGGCCTGCAGCAGCGGGGAGAGGCTGCAGTCAACAGGTCCTGGGGGTGACCCACCACCTACACCAGAGCTCTGCTTCCACCAGCTTGAGGGTGTCCAGCGGGGACCAGAACCCCCTTCATTCCCCAGAGCTGACGGGCAAACTGGCTTGGAGCATTCAGAGAGCAGGAGGGAGGGGAGACCGTCAGCTGCCTGTTGGGTCCCATAGGCCCCACTGTGGCTGCTCTGACCTGGGACCCCTGGAGTGGCCTGGCTGACAACAGCCTGTCCTGAGCCTGCTCTAGCCACAGGGAAGGGTTCTAGAGAGAGAGACAGGGCCAGTCAGGTAGCCACGCCCCCACCCACCGCAGCCCCTACTCACTCTTCGTACAGGAGGGCCACCATGTAGGTCAGGGCCACCAGCACTGTCAGCAGCAGGCCCGTGGGGCTGGCGTGCCTGCAGGGACAGAGGCAGATCAGGCCTGGCTAGAGCCAGGGTCTCCCAGGGCCACTGCCCACCTGCCCAGGCTGGCCCTTCCTGCTGTGACCCAGGCCCTCCAGCCTACACTGGGGCCACTTGGGCCAACTGAGCCCAGGCAGCGCTGCCCCTTCCTAAGTCTGGCTTTTTTTTTTTTTTTTTTTTTTTTTGAGATCGAGTCTTGCTCAGTTGCCAGACAGTGGAGCCATCTTGGCTCACAGAAACCTCCACCTCCGGGTTCAAGCAATTCTCCTGCCTCAGCCTCTCGGGTAGCTGGGATTACAGGCACCCACCATGCCTGGCTAAGTTTTTGAATTTTAAGTAGAGACGGAGGAGTTTCACCATGTTAGCCAGGATGGTCTCAATTTCCTGACTTCATGATCCACCCACCTTGGCCTCCCAAAGTGCTGGGATTACAGGCGTGAGCCACGGCAACTGGCCCCAAGTCTGGCTTTTGTGCCAGGACCAGGGTCTCCATGTTCTCTGTCCTGATCCATCTGCCATCGCTGCCTGCCTGTCCGGCCTGGCTGGGTCCCCCCAGGGTGTGATCTGCTCATTCTTTCTGGGTCTCCAGCCCCAGGGAGAAGAGTCCCAGTGGCTAGGACTTCATTCTAGCTGGGAAGGAGGTTCTGGGACAGCAAGTGCTCCCCTGCCCCCAGAACCCATGCTCTGAGGAATGAAGGCTGTTTTCTAGAAATGGGTCCAGGGTCTCCCAAAGCCAGTTTGGGTCCACCCTGAGCCCCAGCCCCCAGCCACAGGTGCAGCCTATGGCCACGCCCTGGGAGGATCTGGCTTCAGGGGAGGGGCTTAGGCTGCTGCCCCACCCAGCCCTCAACACCCAGCCCGGCTTGGGCTCTCCTGGGTGGTGAGACAGCAGCCCCACACTCAGGGGCCCCTAGTCGCCCTGGCCCAGAGGACTGGAGGCCCCATGCCGAATGTGCAGTAGGCCCAAGGCTGGACAGAGCACTGCCGGAGGCTCTCTGCTGGTGACCAGCTCCTGACCCCACCACACCAGTGAGCAGCCTCAGCTCGTCAGTGACGGCAGCGCGGAGCCGGGGCACAGCTGCCTTGGGTTTCCAGAAATAGCTGCCTTCAAGCTGTCCCCCAATCTATTTCTATAGTTACCTCTGATCCCACAGCTCCTGCAGGCACTGAGCTGTTGCTGGGGAGGAGGGAGGGCGGGAAGGAGGGAGGTGCCTTGCTGGCACAGAGGGAACATGGGCAGGCCTGGGCCAGGGGCTGTGTCCTTCTTGGCTACGTCTGTGCCAAGCTGCCCCCTCCCCAGCCAAACCATCAGAAGAGCCCCAGATAGGGCTGGACCAAGATGAGGGCTGGAGGACACCTGTGGCCCCTGCAGGGACCCTCTGTCCTGCCCACTGCCTTTCACCCCCGGACCTCACACTGGTCTGCGTGACTGGGAGCTGCAGGAGGCAGGGCAGACATAAGGACAGCGGAGATCCAAGCCCAGGCTCCAGCTCCAGGCCTGGCATCCAGCAGCGACCCCACTGTGGGTGTCAAGGGGGACAGGAGCCCCCTCTTGCACAATACAAAGCAGGAGGCCCCCCTGCCCCTCACAGCCCAGCTACCGCCTCTGCCATCTGTCCCCTGGCACTGGCTCACTGCCACACTGGCCTGCCGGTGTCCTACATGCTGAGGAGCTTAGACAACTGCAGGCCCATCTCTGGGGCCCTGGCAGGTGAGAGACAGACGGGGCATGGGAGGCCTGCGGGGGTCCCTGCTGGGTCAGCGTCTGGCCAGGTAATGGTTCATCTCTAATGAGCTCCTGGGCCATTGCTGCCATCCCCCAGCACACCATGTGGCTGATGGCCTCAGGAGGCAGCTTGTGCATGCCCCAGAGCCCTGGCCTGGCAGCCCGGAGCCCAAGGGTGACTCTCACTCCGGGGCACAAGGCACTGCTGGGGAAACTGAGTCACTGGGAAGGTATGGAGGGGGTGCAGTCAGGGAGGGATTCCTGGAGGAGGGGACACCTCACATGGGGTTTGGAAGGAGCATAAGTGGGAGGGTTCCGGGTGAGGGAACAGCGTGTTAAGAGCAAACGCGCACACAGAGGAGGGGGACCAGGTGTGCTGGGAACCCTAAAGCCTGCAGGGACGACCTGGGTGGGGGGATTTGTTTGAGTGGACTCATCCTGTGGCCCCAGTGAGGGTGCTCCATGGCAGGGGAGCCTGGGTGCACACGGTCTGGGGCCTCAGGAACACGCTGCCTGAGTTCGGGCAGAGGGGCCAGGCCAGAAGGCAGGCAGGAGGTAACCCTGGGAACTGCCTGGCCTGGATGTGGGGTGGGGGCAGGGTGGGTCCAGCCAGACCTACAACCCGCCTTCTAGCTTCTGCTGTCTCCAACTTCAGCTGCTACAGTCCCAGCACTGAGGGCGGGGAGCCAGAAGGAAAATCTTGCTCCTGACATTCACTGTTTACTCCTTTGGGGTCCTACATGCCGGGGAGCTCAGACACCTGCAGGCCCATCTCTGAGGCCCTGGCAGGTGAGAGACAGATGGTCTATGGGAGGTCTGCAGGGGTCCTGGCCGTGTCAGCGTCTGGCCAAGTAAGGGCTCATCTCTAATGAGCTCCCGGGCCATTGCTGCCATCCCCCAGCACACCATATGGCTGACGGCCTCGGGAGGTGGCTTGGGCATCCGCCAGAGCCCTGGCCTGGCACTCCTTTGGGGTACTGAAGCCCTTCTGGTCCTGGGGAGCACCTGCAGCATTCTAGGCCAGTGGTTTTCAACTGTTAAATAAAAGCAGTGGAACACATTCTGCCAAAAAAACCTTCTATGGAAGAAAATGGCTAAACTAGAACTGCCAGGGTTGGGGTGAGGGCCTGGGTCGGGGCTGGGAGTGAAGCCCAGGGCAGCTCCTGCTGCGCCATCCTTGACCGCAGGCTCTCTGACCGACCCTGGGAGCACATCCCTCATCCTGTCAGTGCCTGTGGCTGGCTGAGGCCAACAGCAGTTCTAGGCCTCCCTTGGCATGGGGCCCCCTCTGTGGGAAGGGGTATCTGCCACATGGGCAGAGGCTATGGGGGCACAGGGAGTTCTGTCAGCTGCGGGTGAGACGGGCTCTGGTGGCTCCGGCCGCCCCCTCCTGTGGGGAGTAGCAGATGGCTCGGGCAGTCCCAGCCCTGTTGCCAGCACAGGGGTCCGCAAACTACGGCCTACAGGCCAAGAACACCTGTTACATTTTTAAATAGTTAAAAGCAAAAGGATCAAAAGAATGTTTTGTGACACGTGAAAATGAATTGAAATCAAGGCCCCAGTGTCTGTAAGTGGAGCTGGGCTGCTGCCGAACAAACAAATCCGTTTTCCTGCATCTGCGGCTGTTCTGCGCGGCAGGAGCAGAGCCGAGCGGCTGTCACCTGCCTGCGGCCCTGGAGCCTCCACACTCCAACCCTTTTGGAGAAGCCGGCCACCCTGTTCTGGGGTGTTCTTTCTGTTACCATAGATAAGACGCTTCTGAGAAAGGGAGACCCAGGGCGCCTTAGGCCCCTGCAAATGATGTTCGTCCCACGCTCTTCCTTTCACTCTCTGCAGGGGCCCCAGCAGGGCAAAGGGGCGGTGAGCCAGGTACTCACAGGATGGCCCAGCCCAGGTAGTTGGCTGTGCTTCCCCAGTACATAGGGTTGTCCAGGACGCTGAAGGGGAACACAATCACTCTTGCCTCCTTGAGGATCCCGAAGTAATCACCTGTGGATGAGGAAGGCAGGGTCCTTGGGCTATCGACAGCCCTGGCCACACCATCACTGAGGGAGGCCCCAGAGTGGGCTGTGGTGGACCGGCAGGTAAGACAGGGCCCTGTCTTCCAGGAGACTCCAGGGGTTCAACAGAGGGCAGTCAGAGGGACCCAACAGGCACGTGGACAGCAGAGGACATGGGGCCCAGGGACTGAGGGGCTGAGCGCCACCCCTGCCCCACTCCTTTTCTCACATGCTCTGACCCAGCCACATTGGCCTTCCGCTTCTTGGCTCTGCACATGCTGTTCCCTCCCTTGCAATGCCTTTCCCTGCTCTCCTTTCCTACCCGGGTCCTTCTCCTTCTGCTCATGTTGCCTCTTTTCCCTCCTCCTCCTGTCCTACCTCCTGCTACTCCTCACTCTGGTGAGTTCCTCGCCCTCTGGGGGTCTCAGCTGGTTGCTAAGGGCTGCTTTGCTCCCAGGCTATGTCGCTCAGGCACCAGGGCCTGGCCATGGCACACCTCCCGTCACTCTGGCAGGTCAGCCCTGGTAATACTGTTTTCCCACCCAGCTGCCCAGAGGAGCTAGACCCAGTAGAGAGAGGGTGGCTATCGAATAGCCAGTTGCAGACAGTCCAGCCATGCACCTGTCAGCCGCACAGCCACAAAGTGTCCCCTGGCAGGGCTGCTCTGAGCCATAAGGTGGCACTGGGATCACAGTCACAGTGTCTGTCCCAGGCCCACACAGGACAGTCCCACTGGACACAGAGTAACCGCTCCATAAAGGGTACGGCTTCATCCCTCCCAGCCTTCTGTCCCCAGAAACCCCTCATTTGTCTCTCTTCCAGGAGGACAATGGAGCTCCATCCCAGGCAGGAAGTAGGGCATCTGCCCGACAATGGGCAGCACAGGCAGAAGGGTCCAGGAGCTGCGTCACCATCTGGGTGAAGCAGGGCCCAGGACCACTGGAAGTTCTTTCTTCCTGGGAAGCAGGAAGTGGGGCAGCGGGGTGTGGGCGGATGGCACAGAAACCCAATTCTGGCTGAGTCACAGTGGGAAGTGACCACCTTTGCCTACATCCCGCACAGCTGGCCCCGGGGTTTCTAGGCCACGTCTGCTGGCAGGGCCGCCGGGAGGCTGTGGCCACTGGTGTTTGTGGGCTCCTTCCCTCCCTCGGACTGTCCAGGGCCCCCCAGCTGGTTCTTCCACTGCCAAGGGGCTTTGCCCACCACGTTGGCTCTCCCTACGCTGCCTGTAGCCTTCCCTGCCCAGACCCACCGGAGCCCTGGCCGCTCCCTGCCACTGCTCTCCCACAGGACCTGACTGCACAGCTCGGAGCCACCTCCCCATGTGGCTCTCTCCGCCCTCCACAGCTCCTCCTGAGCCCAGCTCCATCAGTGCAACCTCTTCCTTGCTGGGACCCCCTCTATGGCTCTCACCTCTCGGCGGATGGAGCCTCAGCCCCTTGCATGGTCTTTGGGGCCTCGGCTCACCCTCCAGCCTTGTCCCAACCCACAGCGCCTGTGTGGCCAGTCCAGCTGCCCCCTCTCTCCAGCCACCCACCACTCTGCCCTCAACCACCTTCTCCACGCACCAAGGCCTTTTCCTCTTCCCCACCTGCCCACACCTCCCCCTGCCTAGCAGATACAGATGCCCCGGGCTGCCGCCCCCTGCCTGGACCAAACTCCCTATAGCTCCTGCCTGAGCAGAAAGCACTGAACCACCTGGAGGTGACCCCCACAGTCCCACTGAGGCCTGGCCACAGGCAATCCAGAATGCTGCACCCACAGATGCCACTTCCTCCCTCGGGAGACCCTGCTGCCGGGCGCAGGCTCCTGGAGAGCTTCAAGCGCCTGTGACAGCCCACAGTGCCCTCAGGGCTGGGCCCAAGAAGCTGCAACCAGCATCTGGCGATGAGGACAGGAGGCAGGCCCGGGAGCTCTTCAGGCCACTGCTGGTCCCACGAGGCCACTGAAGTCGAGTAACCTGCCGAGCTCCAGCACAGGCCAGGGCTGATGGAGAGGAAGATGTGGGCCCCCGTACCCCGGCAGACCGGGGGCACCATGGCTAGCTGGGCCAACTCCCTGCTCGCTGGGAGGGGCTCCCTTTGGACAGGGCTGCCTCCTTCTCTCTTCCTGGTTCTGAAGGCCCCCTCTTGTCCCCCCCCCATGCCCCCCCCCCCCGCAGCTTTCCCATGGCTGCTTTTTTTTCCCAGCTTCCGAGGAGCTAGAAGTTGCTGTCATGAGGGTTGGTGGGCGTCTGGCCAGGCCTGCACTGGGCTCATAGCCTGAAAGCACCTCAGCCATAGGCAGAGGGGAATGGGGAAAGGATAAGGTCCCTCCACCCCTCACCTGTCCCCAGACCTACGCCAGCCCTGCATGCTGCCAAACACCGCACAAACCGCAATCCTGCCTGGCCTGAGAGCCACAAGTGCCGGGAACTGCCCAAGGCAGAGCCAGAGATGCCGTGGAGGTGGCTGACTCACCACCACCACCTTAGCTTTCTGTGCCACGGGGCCTTTGGCAAGGAGGAGCTGGGGCTGGAGCCAGACTCAAGGAGTCTGGGACTGGCCCAGGCAGCAGAACGGGCGTTTAGTGCATCCTCATTAGCTGGAGAGAAGAGTAGGAGCTGTCTTGACTCCCAGGAGGCAGCTACTCAGCAGCCTGGGCTGAGAGGAGCTGCTGGAGGCCAGCCTCCAGTGCTAACCATGGAGGAGGGAGGATGCCCCGATAGAGCGGGGTCCCCAGCACTCCCACCGATGTCATGGACAGCAGGGTGGCAGCCACCTGACCCTGCTCCTCCCTGGGACTCCAGCGGGCCTGCTCAGGGTCACCCCAGCCTCTTACCTAGGAAGGTTCCAGTGAACCCCAGTGCAAAGAAGCTGGAGAGCACGAGCACGACACCTACTCCCAGAAGCATGAGGCCCAGGCAGTGGGCCACAGGCGTGTCTAGGCTCTCCATCCTGGGCTGGTTCAGCATGGCCTGCGTGAAGCTGTGGGCAGGGGACAGACAGGGAGGATGTCAGACCAGGGATGATGTCATGGCCTGGGAGGAGGCCGACCTCACCTTCTTGCCCCTGCCCCAGGGACCCTCAGAGAGTAGCCAGCCCAGGGCTGCTAGGCCAGTCAGGCACCAGGTGAATGGAGCAGACAGCAGGTAGGGCCTGGTCCACCTGGGAGGGAGGTGACAAGAATAGGGAGGGGCCCAGGCCTGCCAGATTTCTTAATTTTTTCAAGAGAAGTCAGAAATCCTGACTCATATATGAAATAACCTAATTTTTTTAAATAGATAATTCATGAACTCCACTTTAGACCTGCACGTGAGCAGGCTGGGTGTAGCCCAAAGGCCACCAGCTGCCAATGCTCATCCTGCCCCATGAGCAGCTCACGCCATGGAGGAAAGTGAGGCTGAGAAAGACACAGGTGCCCTAGGTGCCCCATTTCCCAACAGACTCAGTGCCCCGAGGCCTGGAGCGTGCTCTGTGCTGTGGATTCAGCTTCCACAGCCCCTGCAGGCCTGGCCACATCCTGGGTGGGTTGATTTGCATTTAGAGGCACGTTGGGGGCCACTGATATCCTCCTCCACACCAGAACTCCCCCATTAGGCTTCCTTTGGGGCCAAAACACTGAAGGCCTTGTTAAAAGGTAGTGGGGGCCAGGTGCAGTGGCTCATGCCCATAATCCCAAAACTGGGAGGCCAAGGTGGGCAGATCACTTGAAGTCAGGAGTTTGAGACCAGCCTGGCTAACATGGTGTAACTCCATCTCTACTAAAAATATAAAATTAGCTGGGCATGATGGCAGGTGCCTGGAATCCCAGCTACTCAGGAGGCTGGGGCAGGAGAATCGCTTGAACCCGGGAGGCAGAGGTTGCAGTGAGCTGAGATCACACCACTGCATTCCAACCTGGGCAATAGAGTGAGACTCAGTCTCAAAGAAATAAAAGCAGTGGGGTGACCCACAGGGAGTGACTATGATAACAGTGGGTCTAGAGGCTCATGTCCTCCAGTTGGCTCCAATGGACTGCAGGCCTGGTGCAGGCAGGGCACAGTGCACATGGGATGGGCACATGGTGATGCACCAGGCCTTTAGTTTACTGGCACCAGCTGGAGGACCTGAGCCTTTAGACCGGCTGCTATCATAGCCATTCCCTTTTGGTCATCACCAGGGAGCGGGCGCTGGTGCAAGGGAGCCCTGGGTGCCAGATGAGAGCCACTTTCACAGGAAAGGGTGTGTGTGGGAGCACAGATACGTGTGACCCGACGTGCACTTCCCATGCTCGCCATAATCACAACACAGAAGAGACATGGAGCTCTGCTGCCTCACGCAGGGCAATGCTTGACACCCAGTCTGCAGATGGCATCTCACAGCAGGGGCAGCTCACCATCCACCCACCCGCCCATCCTTCCATCCATCAGTCTATCCTCTGTGCACCACACTTCCATCCATCTGTCCATCTATCCAGCCATCAGTGAATGGAACCATCCGTCCATTGGCCGTGAAGTATCTTTGTTTGCCAGGCTTTCAAGGAGATCGAAGCCCCAACTTTATCCACTCATTCCATCCATTTCAGATTGTTGTGAAACTCCTTATGCTGAGCTAAGGACATCCAGACAAGTCTTTATGCCTACCTAGAACTCCTTCCTCCAGCTAACTGGGAGTTCTTGGGAAACAGAAGCTGCCCCTCCTTCCCTGAGTACCCCCACCCCCAACCCCAGCACTTGGCCTGGGCTTCAGAACAAATTTAGTGCATATTCACCGACTGGAGAGAAGCAGCAGCTGCTCCTCCCTCCTCCCACCCCCCAGAGAAGAGAAGGGGGGGGGGGGACCGCCTGTGGACAAAGCCACCAGCACCCAGTGGCAGAGGCAGGCACACTGACCTGTCAAACAGCGGCATTTGGGTGTCAGGGCACGCTGCCCACACCCCCAGCTCTCCACCCACCAGCGCCCTGCCCCGATCCTGCTGTTGCCGGGGCTCAGGGTCACCCTGCAGCTCCAGGCCAAGCTCTGGGATTGGCTCAGGGTCACAGGCTGCCATGGAGTCAGATGGCCACACGCACACCCATTGTGGTGCCACAAGCCAGGCACACCTCCCCTGCCTGGCACCCTCCACTCTCTTGCCTGCAGACAGTGGAGTGGGAGGGAAAGGAAGGGTCCCGGCTCTGCTCAGGAGCATGGCTCCTCTGCAGGCATCTGACTCCTAGGCTGCCACTGCAGTGGGGACCAGAAAACAGACAGGGGATAGCATTCCAGAAAGAGGAAACAGCAGGTTGGCATGCCTTAGAGTTTGGGGCAGGGGATGGAGCAGGGAAGGCTTGAAGAAGCCTGCCGGGTGCAGGCCTCAGCCCGGGAGGGCTGGGAATGCACTCTGCCTGCTGTGGAAAATCCAGAACCAGGGAGACCCGTCAGTGCACTGCAATACTGGGTGGGCGCTGAGGCCAGGCCCGAGGACGCTGGAGGGTCACTCTGGAGGAAGACCCTGTCGCTCTTACCCTCTCCTGCAGAGACCTAAGCCAAGATATGGGTCCATGCCCCATGCTCAGGGTTCCTCTGCCAGAATTTGTCTGTTTCACACAAGGAGGCAGCAGATAAAAGGGAACCTCTTCCCTCTGGTGGGGCCCAGCCTGAAGCCCAATGCTTTCAGGGCCCAGGTTCCCTGGGGGCATGGCTCAGTAGGAAAATCATCTGTTTGGAAGCAGATTCCTGGTGAAGGGCAGATCTGGGGCCAGGGAGCAGGTGGGAGAGGCCCCAGATCAGCCCAAGACCTGACGCCCAGCCCCCAAGCTGCTCCCCGGCCTGGGGCCCCATTCCTGGGGCCTTTCCTTTCCCTTCTCTGAAATGACAGCCTGGGCTGGCTCCTGGCACAGTGCTCTGTGGGTCATTCACTCAGTCAGCAGAGGAACTGGGCTGGGCTGGCTGCCTGCCTGCCGTCCTCATCAGGTGGCTCCTTTTACCCAAAAACACTCATTCCAGATTCCAGATTCCAGGCTTACTGGAGTTGCACGACCCCAATTAGGCGATCGACACTGTTCTAGTTCCTTCATTAAGCCAGGAAAGCACAGTCCGTCCATTCCACAGGGAAAATTAGTGGATGGATGAGTAGCTCTGTGACCACAAGCTCCCTAACAGAATGAGGTAATAGGACACAATTTCCCTTGGAAGTATTCCGCACTGGTGGGAGGAGGGAGACTCATTCATTTGTCTTAGGTTCTATTTTTAAGACCTGGATTGAATCTTCAGTCATTAATGTGATTTGAGGCTGTCTGCACTCTGCTCCCATAAAATCCCGGAAACCCTGGGGTGGGGAGGAGGCATCGCTGCCCTCAGTGTCCCCACTCTGCCCCCAGCTGGCAGTCCTGGGCCACACACTAGGCCATAGGCCACAGGCACAGGGCCCCGCCCAGCACAGGCCTATCCGGTTTCTATCTGCTGCTGACCAGAAGCACTTCCCTGATTCTGGGCATTCTGGGGCACCTCTCCAACACTGTCCATATCTGAGTGTGGCCTGAGTGCCAGGTACTCCACGTCTTTCACCCCAGGCTTGGAGTGACTTGCTGTTTCCACTCGGTCTCAGCTAAACCATGCTAGCCATGAAATGAGATGTCTGATGGGCTCGTTTCTTTTCCAAGGCACATTAAAATAAGCAGGTAACTGCTAAAACAAAAAATGTCCATCTATGCAACTCCCGAAATCATCAGGGGACTTGAATTTAGGGCTTTGACGCTGCACTAATTCTGAGCATTTGAATCACACGTCACCTTTCCGAAGTGTTTCCAAACCCATCAATAGCTGAGGGAGATAGTCTGTCTTGGTTTACAAACAGGGAAACAGATGGTAGGCTCTCCTGCCTCATCACGACCTGTAAACAGTGGGGCAGGCTCAAGCCTCAAGGGCAGGCCAAGGCCAGCACTGTCTCCCAGGGCCCCTCACACCTGGGAATCCTGGCTGACACCCACTCTCCTCCCAGACTTCCTGGTGGTGTGTGCTTTGGGGACAGGTAGAGTGCCTCTCCCTGCCTTCCCAGCTGCAGACCCTCAGCCACCGGCCTGACCTGCTCTACCAGTGCCTGGAACCCACTCTTTTAGCCCCTCTCCCTCCTCCCTTCACAGTAGCTGGGCCCTCTTATGCCCAGGAAAGCCTACACTGGGTTCCCTGTCCCAGCTGGGCCCTGCCACCCCACCCCTACACCCTGTGTTACTGTCCCACTGCCCGAATGGACCCCACCCCCACCGCTGCCCCAGGCACCTGCTCTGAGGGAATCACTCTGGTGAGGGGATTTCACAACCGGAATTCAGTTCCTAATCAGTTGGCCTTGAATTAATCAAAAGGGAGGTGACCCGGGGTAGGCCTTTCCCAAAGGGTCTAGAAGACAGAAAGAACCGAAGCCGAAGCCACAGAGCTGTCTGCTGAGCTTCAGGAAGGGCTGCCAGGAGGTGCGCCTCAAGGACCTGCATCCTGCCCGAAACCCGAAAGCATGGAGGACCCGGGCTTGGGTGAGCTCACACCCGGTGGGCATCTGGATTCCAGCCTGGGGAGTCCCTGAGCAAAGACCCCGCCCCCCATCCAGCCTCCTGGCCATGGAAAGTGTCATGTAATAAGTTTGTGTAGTTTGAGCCGCTAAGTTTGTGGGAATTTGTTACACAGCAGAAGGAAACTAATACGCTTTGCTTCCCAGTCCTCGGACTCCAAAATTTTGCTCTTTAAAAATCCTGGCCTGTTCTGCCAAGACAGGAGGAGTCACATTTTCCTGCCATGGGACGCTGCACACGTCCAGCCCTCCATCTCTCCATCGGAAGCAAAATGTCCCATCAGCTCCATGCCCTCCCTCCTTCATGCAGTCACTTGACCTGGAACAGGTCCAGCCAGGCACTGGGATGCAGCAGTGACCAGGATATGTGGCCACCGGGACAGAGGGCCATGTGTGCCAGCCTCCTCCAGGGCCACAGTGCCCGAGGGCCTGGCCTCAGAACCATCAGGGAGATTTTGAAAACAGACTTCCCTTGGGGAGATGGGCTCTGGGGTAAGTCCGGCATCCCACGGGGTCGCATCTGCCCCATGGCCTCTAGTGCACAGAGCACTGAGGTGTGTCCCCACCTGCCCTGCCACTGCTGCCCAGCCTGTGAGTGGGGGCTGTCCTCTCTGGGGACTCACATGCCCCACCCAGCCATCTGAAGAGCCGGCTCACTCCTCCAGGCCTCGGTCACAACGCTTCTTCAGCCAGGACCCTACCTACACCCCACCCACCCAGACCACCTTCCAGGGACCACCCTGCCCCTCCAGGTGCCTCCTAGCCCAGCCTGGGAGCACTGCCAAGTGGAGGAAGATTCCTGATTGACGGCTGCACTCTGAGGCCAGGATGCAGCTTCTCAGCCTGGCTGTGCCCGCCACACAGGAACAGAGGGAAAGCTGGGAGCCACCATCTGTAAGAAACTGACTTCCTCCAGCTATCCCAGGAGGACACCCAGGGCCTGGGTTCCCAGAATAAACCAGACAGTGCTTTGCTGCTGTCTACATGCCTGGAGCTGGGCTGTGGGTGGGCCTGTCCCCCAGTCTCCTAGGTACACACAGCGCCGGGCTGGGGCCTGGAGAAGGAAGGATGGCCCCTGCCACAGCCCTCTACTCTCTGCCTTGAAAAGGGGTAGATGACAGGGGCGGACCTCCAAGGTCAGGTAGATCACAGGCTGGGCTGCTAGACCAGGAAGGTGATGGGAAGCGCTCAAGGAAGCCTTGGGGTTTCTAGCGCAAGATGGGATTTGGCAGGAAGTGAGAACTCAGCAAAGGCTCAGAGCAACTCCCAGGAGCATGGCTGGCGGAGGGGCTTGGTCGAGGCAGCTGTCTTGTGGCACTGGCCAGTATTTCTGGGTAGTCACCTTACCTGGCCTAGCTGTCCCTGGAGCCGTGAGGGCTGTGGGCTCCATCCCACTCCTCCTGCTTTGCACGGCCCTGATGGCGGCCCCAGCATGCTCTGGGGAGTGGGGGTGGGGGTGGGGGTGGAACAGCTCAGCATGCCAGCCCTGGGCTGAGTCTCAACCCTCTCCAGCCCTCTGTCTGTCCTCAGCCTCGCTGTTCCTGTGGGGGGCTCCAAGCTCCAAGCAGTTCAGTTCGCCAGCGCCAGCCCCCTCCCTCCCAGCTGGCGGGGAGCAGATGCCTGGGGTCTGGAAGGCACAGGCCCCCATGGTCCTGCCAATGCAGCCAGAGCCCCATCCCAGGTAAGGAGGGGCACTCTGCTAGTGGTCCAAGAGACAGCAGGGGTGGGAGAGAGGCCCATCTCCGGTCCCCTGACATCCCAGCCTGGGTGGTGCCAGTGCCTGACAGGTTCCTCTGGCCTAAATGAATGGAGTCTTTTCTCCCCAAACCATCACAGAGCTGGAGGCTGCCTGTTCTCCCACCCTTGCTTGTCGGGGCTCCCTGAGCTGTAAAGCCTCAGGCCAACCATTGCTTCTTGCCAAGCCTCGCTTCCTCCATCTGCACATTAAGACTTTTCTCTATCCAGAGTCTACAAATATGAACATACTCCCCAGGGCCGGAGAGCCAAGGAGCTTGTTAGCATGCAGGCTATGCAGACCCACAGCCCTGAGGCGGGGACACGGCCAAGCCCCTTGCCCTCCGAGGGGTGAAAAGGCCTCTGTGGGGAAGCCTCTTCACATCATTCAACCCAGGGCAGGTGCTAGGGGACCCACCCCTCTGAGGACCACAACCCTGGGATACCCATCCAGGCCTACAGACAAAGGGCCAAGAAGCAACGGCCGGGAGCCAGGGGTCCAGTGCAGACGGCTGAGCTCAGTAGGACCCTGACCACGCTGCTCATCCACAGGAAGGCCAAGCCCACGATGACGATGGGAAGGCAGCAAGGGTGCCTGGCCACGGAGGGGGAAGGCCTGGGCCACCCTCAGTGAGTGTGTGAGGGGCCTGGCCACCAGCTAGGCCTGCCCCAGCTCCGCACGTGCCGGCATGGAGCATCTGCTGGCCCCTTCCTGTGTGCACCCAGTGCCTGCAGGCCAGGCTGGTCCGGGGGAGATGGGGCCAAGGGCAGCAGGGAGAGCAAGGCTGCACGTGCCCCGTCCAAAGGAGCAGAGCTGCACCTCGGCCCCAGTGAGTGCTCCATGTGGGGTGTGGCCAGTCACACACAGGGTTTCTGGTCTGTCCCAACAAGTCAAAACTGGCACAGTTAATTTCTCATTTTTTCAAGAACCACGTGGTCCATATTTAGTCCACGAGCTGCCATGTGCAATGATTCTCAGGGCACTGTGGGAGGTGAGACCAGGGGCCCAGAGATGAGGCCAGCTGCCTGCCACAGCCCGCATCCCCAGGTCGCCTACGGCCATCACATTCCACACAGGAGGGCTGTGTCCAGCCTGGTGTCTGGGCAGACAAATTTCCTCCCAAGTGCAGTGGGCTGTGCCTCATCATCTACTTCCAGTTCCTCTGTTCTGACTGCTTCATTTGTTGGCAGGAAGGTGCCTGCCCCTTCCAGAAATGGGCAAAGAAGCTTTTTTTTTTTTTTAATTTGAGATGGAGTCTCGCCCTGTCACCCAGCCTGGAGTGCAGTGGTAGAATCTCAGCTCACTGCAACCTTCACTTCCCAGGTTCAAGTAATTCTCCTGCCTCAGCCTCCCAGGTAGGTGGGACTACAGGTGCACACCACCATGCCCTGCTAATTTTTGAATTTTTAGTGCAGACAGGGTTTCACCATGTTGGCCAGGGTGGTCTCAAACTTCTGACCTCAGGTGATCCGCCCACCTCGGCCTCCCAAAGTGCTAGGATTACAAGTGTAAGCCACCGAGCCCAGCCTCAAAGAAGCTTTCAAGCCTAACCTGGAGAGACGGTCAGGCCTGATCCCTGAGGGCTCCCAAGCCGGCATCTGCCTTCTGACCGGGCACTTCCTGTAGGGGACTCCTAAAACAGCTTCAGCTGCACAGCAGAGGTCAGGATGTGACCTTGGGACCATCCAGGCATTGTCCCTTGTCCCCCATCACATCCCCCTGTTCCTGAGATCACTGGAGCTCCTCAGCTGTCTGGAGTCTAAATGGCTGGGAGGGGTAGGGTGGCTCGCTGTGCCAGGTGGCTTTGAGAGCTGACCACTGCATGCTCAGATTCAAGGCTCCTGCATGGTGAGGGACAAGGGACCACCAGCAGCAGCCCTCCCACTAGCCCAGGGGTTGGGCTCCCCTGGAAGAGGGCTGTGCTTACCAGTGTGAGCGCAGGAAGTTCAGGAGCAGGATGGTGATGCTCAGGGAGTAGCAGGCCAGGTAGGGGGACCCGAAGGCCCTGCTCAGCTTGCGGGTCTTGTGTTCCCATCGTGCAACCTAAACCGTGGGCAGAGAACAAGAGAGAGATGTTTGCTAGGGAGACTCCAGGGTGGGGGTGGGGAGCGCATGCCTCTCTCTGCTTCCCAGGCTCCAAAGTCCCTATTCCGGAGAAAGGAGAATTACACGGAAGCAACCACCACATGCACCTCAGCCAAGAATGATCTGCCCTAGAGCAAGTTACAGAGGGATTTTCATACTTGCTCAGTTCATCTGGACAGACAACAAGATCCTTCTGGAAACAACCATTCAACCAGACACAGCCATGAACCTACCAAGAGGCAGAAAGAGATGTCTGGCTGAGAAGACCTATCTCTGGGCAGTCACGTGGGCTCTGACCTCAGGCCCTGGCTGGAGCTGCCCAGTGCATCCTACAGTGGCCCCAGCAGAACTGCAGAGGCACCCAAGACTGCAGGCCTTCAGGAGCACAGGCCCAGATTCCTGCTGGGGCCTCACAAAGTGTCCATCATGGGGGCAAAGTGAAGAAAAGAAAACCCCTCACCCTTCTCCCTCTGCCCAAGTGCTCCTCCCAAGGCACAGACTTTCCAACGGTGACTTTTAACCTCAGAATCCTTTTACTTTGTTTTTTCAAACTAATCACATCTGGAATCTCAACATCTGGCCACCAACAGTGGAGAGAAGGGAGCTCTTCCTACCTCTCTGCTGTCTCCATAGTCCTGAGCTGGTCACTGCCAGGGTCTGGCCCAGGACACTGGGGACTGAGCGGAAAGAAGGGAGGGTAGGGCAAAGAGGATGCAAAAGACAAGTGTGCAGCCTGGAGTCAGGGGCTGGGCTCTAGTCACGTGAGCAAGCTGCCTGCGGGCCCAGAACAGGCGCCTGTGTGCACAGGAAGGGTCTCAGAGGCTTGCTCCTAGCAGAGATGCCATGCTGCCACCTATCTCCACCCCAGCCCCAGCTATGACTGCTGCCTGCTTCACTTCCCAAAGGGATCTGCCTTTCCCGGCAGTTGCAGCAGGAGAGTGATTAGCGATCATTTGCCCCAAGGCCACTGACTCCCAGGAGGTGGCTCCCCAGTGAGTTCTCTGGCCAGTCCTGGGCCCTGTCCTCAGAGCTCCTTGGCAGGGGCAGGATGGGGCAGAGGGAGGCGGATGGGGGGACACCAAAGTTTACAGGAAGGAGAGGTGAGGGAGGTAGCTCCTGGGCCGTCCCCTCAGTCAGCTGTTGGCATGCTACCAATTCTCCCAGAAGGTAAGCAGGCCCTAGTCCAGCCCTCAGCAGGTGGCCGCTGCTGACTTCCGGAAGCTCAAAGGGAAGAAGAAATGAGCGCTGCAGGGGAGGGTGGGGTTGGGCTGCAGTGACCTTGCTGGGAATGCCTGGGGTGGGGGTGGGGGCAGAAAAGCAGCAGCCTGCAGAGAGCACCACGGGCCCAGAACCACCGCCTGCTTTGTTTTGTTTCGTTCCAGTGTCAAGATAAAACTCAAAGTAGTTTCTAGTTGGGCAACCATCACCAGAACATTTCACCACCGCAGAAGCCCCGCCCCCATCGGCAGCCCCTCCCCATTCCCCTCGGCCGGCCCCTGGCAACCACTCACCGCTTTCTGTCTCTATGGATTCGCCTGCTCTGGACATTTCACATAAACGGAATCACACGCTACATGGTCTTTTGTGTCTGGCTGCTTTGCCTTTGTGTAACGTTCTCAAGGTTCGTCCGTGCCACAGCGCGTAATTCCCTCTTACGGCTGAATGCGACTCCAGTGTATACAGATTTTGTCTCCCTGATCAGCAGCTGCTGGACACCTGCGTTGCTTTAGCAGCACTGTCCGCAGTGGCCACAGGCAAAGCCAAGAGGCACTCGGGCACTTGCTAGGAGCACTGGTACCCAAGTGTTTTGTGGACTTGAGTTTCCATTGCTCTTAGGTATACACCTAGGAGTGGAATTGCTGGGTCATAGGTAAACTATTTTCATTTATTGAAGAGCTGCAAAACTGTTTTCCACAGTGACTGCCCCATTTTCCAGCCCCACGAGCAACGCATGAAGATTCCAGTTTCCCCACATTCTCCCCAACACCAGTTATTTTCCGACAGTTATAGCCTTCACGGGGTGGGGAACACTGGGCGCGGCAGCTCACACCCATAATCCCAGCACTTTGGGAGCATGAGCTCAGGAGCTCAAGACCAGCCTGGAAGACATAGTTGAGACCCTGTCTCTCTCTAAAAAAAAAAATTAAATTAGCCAGAGGATTGCCTGAGCTCAGAAGGTCGAGGCTGCAGTGAGCCAAGATCACGCACCACTGAACCCCAGCCTGGAAGACAGAGAAAGACCCTATCTCAAAAAAAAAAAAAAAAAAATTGTAGTCAGGTGGCTTTGGTTTGCATTTCCCTAATGATAAATACCTGCCTAGGCAAAGTGGCTCTTGCCTGTAATCCCAACACTTTGGGAGGCCAAGGCGGGTGGATCACCTGAAGTCAGAAGATAGAGACCAGCCTGGCCAACATGGTGAAACACCGTCTCTACTAAAAATGCAAAAATTAGCCAGGCATGGTGTGGGAGCCTGTAGTCCCAGCTACTCAGGAGGCTGAGGCAGAAGAATTGCTTGAACCTGGGAGGCGGAGGTTGCAGGGCCAAGATCTGCCACTGCACTCCAACCTGACAGAGCGAGACTCCGTCTCAAAAAAAAAATCACTTTTCCTTCAAGGGCTCTCTCAGGAACACTCTGCCATCCTCAGCCTCCCACAACACTCCCCACCCCCACCCCGCTCTCCTCGACAACAGAGCCAGGCCACACCTGTCCCTTAGCCTCGGAAAGGGCCAGTGCTACATGAGCTTTCAGAGTAATCTAACAATAACAGAAAAGCATTGGGCAAGACCAGCCCATGCGGGAAAGAAAAAGAGGGAACCACACCGAGGCTGGTATTGGATGGGGCTGTTGTTCCGAGGCGGTAGATAAACCAGCAGCCAGCAGGACTCCCAGAACTTCCCTCCTGATGGGCAGCACCCACTGTGCCCTCTCTGGGAGCCCTGCTGCTGGTTTTATCCAACAATGAGTGAGTGCCAGGGCACAGGGGCCTCCAAGGGCCGTGTGTGAGCCCGTGGTGGACAGTGGAGTGGCCCAGCGCTCTGCTGTCACTGCTCCTGGTTTTTGCCTGTCTTCTAGATTTCCAGATTCCTAAAGCAGGGATTCATTTGCCCAACCCTCTGTACCCCTTGCCCAAATTCTCTCTCCCCAGGGTTGCCAGGATCCTCCAGGTAAATGTAAACTGCAGATAAACAATAAACTGGCTGGGCACAATGGCTCACGCCTGTAATCCCGCACTCTGGGAGGCCAAGGTGGGCGGATCATGAGATCAGTAGTTCGAGACCAGCCTGGGCAACATGGTAAAACCCCATCTCTACTAAAAATACAAAAATCAGGCCGGGCCTGGTGGCTCACACCTGTAATCTAAGCACTTTGGAGGCCAAGGCGGGCAGATAACCTGAGGTCAGGAGTTCAAGACCAGCCTGACCAATATAGTGAATGTTTGGAAAACTCTGCCCCTACCGCAAAATCTCTCTCTCTTTCCCTCCCCCACAAAGAGGCTCCCTTATCTCTCACTTTACATACCGGCCCTAGCCCTCCCGCTGCCCAGCTTCCCGCCCAGCAGTTCAAACTGACCAACAGTTGCCCACCACCTCGGCTTTTGGCTTCCCCACCCCCCAGCCCTTCAGCCCCCTATAAAACAACCCTGCCCCTCTGAGCGGCGCGGCCATTCTCCTCTTCCTCCCGGCTGGTCCGCCCGGAGGCTCTTTCCTCTCAATAAAGCCTGAACTTAAGGAATTTCCTCTAGCCTGCGGTCCAGTTTTTTCCGAACGAGCTCAGTCTTCCCGCAGAGGGTAGGTCGGACAGTGAAACCCCATCTTTAAATATATATATATATATACACACACACACACACACACACACACACACACACACACACAAATCAGCCTGGCATGGTGGCACGTGCCTGTAGTCCCAGCTACTAGGGAGGCTGTGGCAGGAGAATCCCTTGAATCTGGAGGCAGAGGTTGCAGTGAGCCAAGATCTCGACACTGCACTCCAGCCTCGGTGACAGCAAGACTCCATATCAAAAAACCAATGAACAAACAAAACAACCATGTTTCGGTGTAAGTTGTCCCATGGGACTGCTTTTCATCCTAAAACAGTCATGTGCTGTTGACCTGGAACCCTAATATGCACCCAGGCCCTGGGTGTGTGTTTGCTCTATCCAGCAGCCCGGCCTCTCCCACACCCTGGCAACTAGTCCCCAGCTCTGCTCTGGAACACACAGGTCTCCTTCCCAAATGCTAACTCCTTTTTGTTTCTTTTTTTGCAAATCTCAACCACAGCCTCTACCTTAGGGCAAAAGAGACAGGCCCAAGGTAAGTGGAGCGGGAGGAAAACAGGGGTGGGGTCAAGGCCCAGGGACACCATCCTGGCCTTGACGCTCCTCGCCAACAGCTGATGGTACTTCACAGGCAAATCACTCAGCTGCCCGATACGTCAACTGAGTCAGCTGCAAAGTAAGAAAAACAGGATGTACAGTACCCCCCACCTGATCCCCCTGCCAGTGTGGTGGGATGGGCAAAGCAGGCGAGGGATGAAAGGCTCCAGGCCCTGGCATGTGGCCCAGGGCACTTGAGAGCTCCCATCTCTCCCTCTGTCTGCAGCTCAGAGCAGAGACTACATCTGATTTCCTTCTGGGTCCCACTCAGTGGGAACCGCCTCTGCCCATGCCCATGGTGCCCATCCAGCCTGAGGTGGCAGCTCCAGCCTCCATCTCCATGCCAGGACCCAGGTTTCCTCCCTGCCCTTTCCTGGGCTCTATTCTTGGCATCCTTGGACTCAGAGGTTTTGGCTGGCAGCCCAAGATGTGTTCTGGTCAAACTCACAGCGTGTTTAAACTATTTGGATCAACAATGAAACATGAAAGCCAAGGTTTCCACTTGTGGTGAAAAGTCTTGAAAATGAGCACAGCCTCCAGCCTGCAAGGCCCGCACCAGCCCAGCTATGCAGTGAGCA